ATATATATATATATATATATATATATGCTCCCTATATGGTGCTTCATCTCCCCCCCAGTAATTTTAATTTTACACTGAAAACAATTAATACCTGATGAAAAAACTTTAAAATATGGCAAACAAATTACAACGTGTAATATTAATAAGTTGATGTTAAGTAATATTTCAAAAGCAAATACCATTTCAAGTAATCGCCCAATTAACTTCAATAATGCTGACTGACAAAATATTTTAGTTTCTACCAGACAAAAAGCAAATTATATAATAAAAACATATGTAACTGAAATTCGACATATTAAATTAAGCAATTTAATTTTTTGGGTAGACTATATTTGAGGGCGCTCCTTGATTCTCGTCAAGTTGTAATTGCGGTTGATCGCCAAGCTGGGCGATGTTGAAACCCAATCGTGATTCTGATTGGTTTAGATTTTAGTGTTAGTTTTAAATGTTCAATGGTATATGTAATTTCAGAGGTCCGTTAGTTCTACGTTGGATACCGGCTGGTAAGGTTACTTTTGCTTCTGGTCAATAAGATCGAAGGTATGTAGGCAGTCATAAAAAGGGACTTTAGATAAAATTGTCACCGCCAGTCCGGTACCATAGACGCCTTTTTCGATTCGTATTTCGACGACTTTATGTGACGATGGAGGTACACATGATAAATGTCTATTCTATTCAGTATATTCTATTCATGATAAATTTAGACAATATCTAACTGCCATTAGAGAATTCTGTGCACCTAAATCTGAGGATATTCAAGCTTAATGAAAAAGTGAATTGTTTTTTTTTCCTTTTCTTTCTGTGCTTACTCCATTAATTTTTGTTTCGATTCAAAATGCATTTTATTGGGTTTATTAATTTTGCTTACATTGGGTTCATTGCCGTTTTATAAAATTTGGGCCGATGTTTCGTTGAAATTTTCCAATGCTTTATAGAAATTACATTATGTTTTAGCAGACATTCCTGTTACCACGGTGTTCCAAGCAAACAGGAATGGCGCCAAACATAAGTCGCCAATTTCGCCAAGGGTCACCCTCAAGTATATTTATACCAATTATTTTTGCCATACTGAATATTAATAAAAACAGAAATATAAAGTGAAATAATAATGTTATCAATGATCAATAAACATTTTTGTCAGAATTGTTATAAAAAGAAAAGGTGAAAACAATAAAATTAGAAACTATTTACAATAGATAACATTTTTGTCAGAATTGTTATAAAAAGATAAGGTGAAAACAATAAAATTAGAAACTATTTACAATAGATCTCTAAATATTCCCAAAACCTAGCTATGTACATTTTTCATAGATTTTTCTTTTTGCATCTTTTTGTGTAAGAATGATTTTCACTTTTATGCATTGTTTAAGAAATATCTCAAACAAATATGAACTGTTAATTAATATTTCTGTTTGAACAATTTTTTGAAGGTAAGTAAAAAACAATTAAAAGTAAGTAAAAGTTATTCACATCAAAGATATTCATGGTGATTCATTTTATGTAACAAAGATATGAGTATTTTAAAGTAAACTCTGATCAATATATTTCACACATTCGATACAAATCAAAATCGCAACAAGCTTTAGCTGGTATGTTTAGTTGTGACATTTCTGCAGACAGCATTATTACCCTTTCACACACATCCGTTCTCAATTTTGATTGACTGTTTTGTGCGTTACTAACCGGAATCTTCTGTGATTCTGTGATTGGCTATGTGTTATCATTCCACTCTCTTCTTATATTATATAAAGATATATCTATATATATATATATTTTTAAAGGGTGCTTACACAAACAATCAAATTATATGCAACAATGAACTATATAGAGCGTAAAGTTAATTTCTANTTTGCTCTCTCACGATATATATATATATATATATATACCCTCACAGACACTCATTTAACGTAATCTCCATACTCGTAACATGATTTCGTCTTCCGTCATCTTATATGGTGATCGCACAATTTGAACAGTTAATATCAACCGTTGAACCAAATCTCACGTTATCGATATACACTTTATGTCTTGTTTTTTTTCTTTTCAGTACCTGGGGTTAGTGTATGGAAAATTGCAACTTACATTGAATCTGTGGTTTTTGCCCTCATCATCATCGTTTGCACCGTCATCATTTGCTACAAAAGATATCGAAAGACAGTCTAAATCTAGAACATACCATACAATAACTTTAAACTTATTTGGCGTTGAAAAAGTTTTATGTAATATAAAAGAAATAAATGAGTAACATTGCATGCATTTGTATCTTAACTCACGTTTATATTTAATTTTTAGGTTTAATATATTTTTTACTTCGTGATACAGCTACAAAAAGCAACTGTTCTAATGATAACGAAGAAAAATCTGGTCAATTTATTGATTTTTTTTAAAAATAAGAATTTTTTTAAATATTTAAGCTATTTGTGCTTTCGTCCACCTTTCACTCAGATGTGAGAATGGCAAGATGTGATACATAGTTTAAAATTTTCATTTTTCTTTTAGTTTAAGACAGTTACGACTTTTTCTCTAAAAATCTTTGAAAAATATCTTATTGATCGTAGTAAAGGATTACACGAACAATCACGAAAAAGTAGTTAAACAAAAATCTGTGTTGCCATGTTGGCAAAAGAAACTTAATTTATAATAAAAATGGAAGCTTGAAATAGTTTTAATAACGAAACGATTTCATCAACGAAGTAGTTCAATAAATAGATGCAAGTATTAGCATTAGAGATGTTTGCTAGCTCTTTGAGCAAAAAGGAAGTTCACTGGGCGTTCTTTAATATCTAACAATCAATTGATATTCACAAGAGACGTACCTTGACATAACCTTAAATTCGTCTCATTGTCCGTGGGATTGTTTTCACTCACTTTTTACAAATGTTATCCACTAAATTTGAAAATAAAAAATACTACCCTATTAAATTCGCGATCGCAACGAACTATAAGGTGCTTTGTTGTATGAGACGAATACCTGCGATTTCTATATGAACAGTCATTCAGTTACTCTAGAGACGTCTTTAATGTAGCCTGTAGCATTGTAACGATCCTTCTTTATTGTGGCTTATTAAATTTAAAAAAGAAAAACGTTTGATATTCTTTCTTATGCAAACGAAAACAGAATGGTACCTCTTTTTTTTAACAGAAGGAACATCCAAAACACATCGAAAAAAGTATGTGCAAATAAACAGAAAAAAAAATATGTATCTTCTTATTGGAGATAAAACCTAACGCCTGAGAAATAGTTTTACTAAATTTAATGATATCATGAAAGGCCTATTTAAACTTTACATTCCATAGTTTTAAGAATCATATTACTTCAAACATTAAAATGAGCAAAAAGTATACATATGCTCATAATTTTATGTAATTTTAATTTCGTAAAATTTTTTTGACAACAATTTTCATCAAAAAATATTAAGTTTCAATAAAAATCATTACTCAAAAAATAAAAAATTTCTACGAAACAAAAAAAAGGAAGAAAAAAACAAGTCTAAATATTCCTCACATTAAAATAAAAAAACTTTAATGTTTGTTTTTTTTTAAATTTATAATTGGACGTAGAAAACCATTCAATCGAAAATTATCATCAAATGAGAAAAAAAATCACTTACAAGTAAAATTTTTTATTTTATAAATTATAACACTTACCTGTTTTATAAATCTGGAGAATTCCAAAATGATATGTCCTTTTAATTTGAAAACTTTATTCTCAAATAATATATACACAGATCATCCCTTCATCACTTTAAGATGACATACCACTCAATAAAATTTTATAATCGCCAGATCTCGATATGAATTTCAATATGTAACTTAAAAACAGAATAGCTGAAATCTTGTTAAATTTTTGGTACTTACGTACTATCGCCGCAACAGCAGAAGTTGCTCTAATGCGCCAATAAAGAGCAATCCTGTTGTTCACACACAGTTATCTTTTGGATTCCTTGTTGCCTTGTTGTTTGCTGATTTTTGACGCCATTTTTAGTGCAGCGAAAATGCGTCTTTGGGATTTGCCAAAAAGAGAACAAGATGTAATTTTATTTTTTCAGGAGCGAAATATTTTACCAAAAAAACGAAAATTTACCAATTACCATGATATGAAACTGTATCCTGGTAAAAGTACGTTATAGAAATGTTATTTCATTTGGAATCTTAGTTATTATAGTTCATATGGCGACAGCATCAGGTGAAAGAAAATAGAGATTGTTTTGAATCTATGTAAACTCTATATCGGCCTATTTTCCACCGAAATCCGATTAACTACTTTGATTTTAAATAAAGTGTTTTGATTTGAAATAAAGTGTTTTATTTTATAATTTGTCACAAAAATTTTAGGTGCAGTTTGGCGGCCCTTAAAAACCGCCAAATCTATAGCTGCGGTGGCGTTAATACGTAAGTAGTACCGAATTTTTATTCCATACTTTTCTGAATCATATTACTTCAAACATTAGAATATGCAACAAGTATGCATAAACACAAGTAATGTTATACCATTTAATTTTTCAAAAAAAAATTTTTGACAACAATTATAAACTAAAAAAGTAAAATAATGAATTCTTAGGAAAAAAAACGATTTTAAAAATTCCTCATATTGAAATAAAAAAACTTTCAGATTGTTTCTTTTTTTAATTCTTATAGTTCTTAATCAGACGTAAAAAAACATTCTGTAGTGAACTATCATCAATTAAGAAAAATAAATTATTAATTTACAAGCGAATTTTTTATTATAAAAATCATAACACTTACTGATTTATAAATCCGGAGAGTAGCATATGATATGTTCTTCGTTTGAAAATTTTATTTTCGAATAATATATACATAGATTATCCCTTCATTACTTTTAGATAACATGCCACACAGCAAAATTTTATAATTTAAGATCTCGATATGAATTTTAATAAGTAGCTTAAAAACAGAATAGCTGAATTCTAGTTGAAATTACTCTTTCAAAACTAAAAATTACTTACCATAAAAACGATATAAATTTATTAATAATCAGCACAAATGATACCTACTATTTCAAGTAATTCGAATGATTCTTTATTGTTGTTTTCCGAATTATATAAATACAGAAATATATACTATTCTATAAAGAAGAAGAATATTCTATAACTAAGAACACGCTGACTCAGTTCTGTACGTTCTGAATTCACATTTACGCATTGTAATGAAGAAAGCAATGTTGACTTCACTTCAATTTGTAATGAATTGAAGACAGAAAAAATGAATTTTACAGTAATACACACATCTGTAACAGCATGCGATCCCGAAATCGAAAGTCGATACCTTACCAGCCGGTATCCAACGAAGAACTAACGGAACTCTGAAATTACAACCGCTGAACATTTAAAAGTAACGCTAATCTAAACCAATCAGAATCACGATTGGGTTTCAACATCGCCCAGCTTGGCGATCAGCCGCGATCGCAACTTGGTGAGAATCAAGGGACATCCTCAAATATAGTCTATCCGAAAATTGCTTCTACATACACAGAATTTTTTTTTATCCGTTTTTGAACCCAATTTTTGGGTTTACGACTACTAATGTTCAACTCCGTAACCTCGTAATTTTGAGCCAATCCAGATGACAAGGAAAATCCTGGTTCAGTATCCCCAGAGGTATTGATTTGTTATGGGAATATGGAGGACTTTGCGACTCGACAGATTTAATGTGTATCAGTCACCATTTACTACACGGGGAGTCTTCGGCCGACGCTTGTTGAACCCACGAACTCTTAAACATGGGCCCAGTACCCGACCAACCAGGCTGTCCCGGCCTAACACAGAATTATTGACTAAAATTGAATTACTTCAGAAACAAGTGGAACTTTTAAGTAGTCAACATATTCCTCCCCATAACCCCTTCAGCTCCACCTTCGCAAACAGATTCTAATTTTGCGGCAATTCTTGCTACATTTATGGAGACTCAAAAACAATTATTGGACTAACAAATAAGTCAACTAAATATTACCCAAATTGCATCCACTAATGATACCGCAAACTCTATTTCAATATTTAAAGACTTGCTATTGACAATGCTTCTGAATGGATAAAAGAAGTAGATAGAATTTCGACACCAGCTTATTGGTCTGATGATCTAAAATTAACTAATGCTATTTCTCGCCTCGCTGGATCTGCAAAAAATTGGCAAATGACACGAGGTAAAATTTATAATGACTGGACTGCATGGAAAACTGCTCTCGCTGCTAGATTTAAAAGGCGTATTACAATGAAGGAATTCTTAGCTAATCATAGCACTCGTAAATAAAAAAAAATAAGAGAGTTTATTAGTTGATTATATTTATGCTAAGTGTTGTTGATGCGGGGTAACAAAAGGGGGGGGGTAATTAAACCATGAATATTCCCTTCTAATTGGTGTGGACTGTAATATCGCTGGTAAGACCTAAATTTAGTAATTTTTCTAAATCTGGTAAATGCTAACATTGGAATACGACAAGAGAGAGAGCACCACTACAACCTTATGACAGCTTGTTTATTGCTACTCTGAGTGTTTACAAAACGTTACTGTAGATGGCGCTGGAGTAAAGATACAACACTAAGCTTAGCATAAATATAATCAACTAAAAGCTCCGTTTACTATACCACAAGCTGATCGAATTTCTATGATAATTGGTGATATTGCAGAAGAAAAATGGCAGATTCCCTTAGTTACTCGGAATTCGATTACCGTCGAAGAATTAATTGACAGAGCTGTCACACTTGATGCTATTCGAAGTATCAAGCAAGAGAATATGTCACGCCAATCAACTAAAAAAAATTTCAGTCCCCCCGAAATCTCAGACGAAAAATTTCAATTCGCACGTTGAACAACGACGTAAATATAACCCTGCTACTGACGATGTTCAAGATATTACTTGCTGGCGATGGAAAAAAAATTCATGCTTCTTTTATGTGCAATTTACCTCCCCCTCAATGAAGTTCACCTTCAACTCAATCATGAAATTCATAACGATGGAATCCAACAAGCTACTGAAAGCTCAGCTCCAGTCAACTAGACACTCACTTAGTTCCGGTAATAATGAACCACGCGGCGCCACCGGTTCAAATTATCCAAATTTACGTCGCAACACAAATCGCAACATTTCACTCACATGATCTGCTCCTGCAAATGAAAATGACCATTTTTGCGTTCCTATTAATGCTGTTATTCACCCATGCACTGATGGACTTTCTCAAATCATCGACAGTTTAATAAGCCCTGTTGGATGGATTTCTTTAAACATCAAAGTTGGAAACATTGATCATCTAATGACCAGGGTTGGAATTTGTTCCCAACTTCCATTTTCGCTCATTTTGGGATTTCATTGGTAACACCAAGTTCAAGCTAGATGCACTTACGATTATAACGGTTCATTATGTATTTTTACGCCGTCTGCGCTCCATCTATACGAATGTATTCACTCATCGTAATCTAGCATTAACTGTATTTCTTCCGCTGAACTCTCAGTACCATCATTAGACGACGTTTTTAACGGGACTGTCAAACTGGAACAGGCAAACATCCTCCTGAAATTGAATTTTTTCCGAAATTTGCAGGACTATCCAATAACTCAACTTGATACTATAATTGGACAATTTTCAGTCATGTTTTATTCTGACGATGACAATATTGAACTATGTCCGTATGTGGAATTCAAAATAGAATTGAAAAATTACAAGCTTATCCGTTGTCTTCCATATCGCCTTACAGAGTCAGATCGTCATTGAACACTCAAATCCAAAAAAAGGTTGAAACAAGGAATTTGTCGTCCTTCTAACTCGCCTTACGCCGCCCCTGCTTTTATCATTGAGCATACCTTCCATGAAAGCACTCCAAGACGAGTTTTTGTAGATTTCTCACGCACTATCAACTCCATCACCATGATTAATCCGCACCCAATCGACCAGATGGAAGATGCGATTAAATGAACAGTAGGAAAATGTTTTAATTTTAAAATTAATGTCAAATCAGCATTTAACACCATTCGCGTCAGAGAATCTGACATCTACAAAACTGGTTTTGTTACCGCTGATGGATATTATGAATTTCTTCGAATGCCATTTGGTTTCACTAACGGCCCATCTACGATGACAAGAGCAATAAAATGTGCTTACATCCACCTTGCTGAACAAAATGTAAATTTATATGCTTCTCCACTTCTTGTAATCGACTTTTTGAGGGTCAACAACCTACTGGATCTTGTCTGACTTCGTCAGACAATTAGAGGATAAGAAACAACAACAACAACATAATGTAAATACATACTGACGACATTTCAACTTCACATGATAACTTTGATTACCACCTTAAAGTTATTTACAATATTTTTCAAGCTTCTCGTAAAGCTGGATTCAAACTAAATCCAGGAAAGTCGCAATTTGCTGTATCAGAAATTTCTCCTTTTTCTCGAATTCTTTCCTAAGATGGCGTACGCCCTGATCCAGAACGCACAGCAGCAGTTGCACGTTACTCTACTCCAGTGTTTCCCAAACTTATGACTTTTGTGTACCCTTTCTAAATTTTTTGTAGAACGCTGTGTACCACGGATAAAAAAAATGAATGTATTTTTTACTATAAAAAATTTAAATTGTCCAAAAGTTAAAAATCACAACTGCCTGTTGACACCCCTCATTATTAACTGTAGTAACCTCATTATTAACAGTAAAACATAGCGAATAGAAAAATACGCAATCTTAAATTTTTATGGCTAGAGTTGTTTTTAAATAAGAAATTTTGAAAATTTCGTTTGTTGCAAGATATTTTGCATAAGAACGCGTACCCCCGCTAAACTGTTCCCGTACCCCTGGGGGTACGCGTACCACACTTTGGGAAACACTGCTCTACTCTAAAAACAATTCGCGAAAACCGCAGTTTCCTTGGATTCACCAATCAGTTTAGAAAGCACATTCGAAATTACGCTGTTATTGCAAAACCACTTACAAATATTCTTAAAGGATTAGAAAAGAAAACAAGTAATGCGACAACCACGCTGGAAAATCGAATTTACTGGTAAAAAAAACCTACACATATCTATTTTTTTTTTTCTTTGGGTAGAGTAAAATGTCCCTAACTATCTCTAATTATTACGAACATAACAACTAATTATTACCAGCATAACTCGAAACGCCACCTGGAGAGAGACCGGTTTCATGACTTTGGCTCTTCTCCCTTCCCTCTCCTCCTCTTTTCAATTGTATGCGAATGTACTACGATATTTTCACTTTTCGTAATAGTTTTCTTATTTATTTAAAAAAAATATTTTTTCAAATTTCCGTTGTCCCGCAGTGGACTGATCGTTAAGACACGGTTCCCAGCAAATCCCCGAAGTCAAGCATCACTGACTGCTGTCAGTGTGCGGGTGGGTGACCACTTGGATCAGTCTGCATAGGGACCGAGGGTGTGCGGTATTGGTTCTCGTTAAACTGTGCTACCGTGAAGTGCTCGACTTCACGTGCAGGTAGTTGGGCTACCGAAGCGGGGGTGCCACCCCCTCTGCAGAGGATCAAAATTGTGATGGCATGTCTTCGGATCATCCTCAGGGATGTTTGCCAGACTGTCGCCAATAGCCCATTGTGCAGCTCTAGTGCGACGTAAATGAACTTTAACAACTACAGCAATTAAATTTTCGTTATGGTTTTTTTAGAACTATGTTTAATGTAGTTTTTAGTTCCATATAGTTTTAAACATAAAAGATTTTAATCTATATGAAAATCAAGACATAAACTAACGTACTTCCTTCCTCTATGACTCTCCACTCGCTACAGGGGAAAGCATGTGAAGTGTTGCCATAGGTAGAGAGTTTTGCTCTACGCAGCCTGCAACCCATTTCGATCGCCAATAGCATAATTTCATTGGGCTGCAAAATTTGGAGCTTCCATTCGCTACTTTTTAATCTTAAGTTCTGGCAACACTGTGATTGTTTACACGCATGGCCGCGGCAGATTCATATGAATGAAGAATGAAGTAAGTTTTCTTTATGTTATTTATTCTTTTACTTTTATTTAAATGCACTTTATCTTTATTATTAATAGTTGATTTGAGTTCCATTTAAATAATGTGTACGCATTTATCATCTATTTAATAATGCTGTTATTAGCATTGAATTGCAATCAAGATATGCTTTGCAGTCTATTTACATTTTGAATTCTTTTAAGAAAGATTCTGTTTAAGTGTGTATTTCAGTTTACAGTAAAAATGTTACATCTTAAATATTTATATTACTGGCCTAATTTTTTTTTTTTTTGACGAAATTATCTTTTAAATCATATATAAATTTTCTAATTGTTCACATCATGTAGTGTAATAGTTTTAACATTTGAAGATAATGTTAAAGTACCGTTTGAATAATATTTCTATTAAAATTATTTTTTTATTTTAAAATTTTATTTATTCGCAGTTATGATTAAATTTTTGGCTTGCTGTTATTCTATTTTTATTGATATGTAATGTTAAATATTTTCTGGTGTAATAGAAATAATAAGTAAACAAAACTTGTGAGTTTTTAATTTCAGAGAATTTAATAATGAGCAATATATTTACTAATTTTCTAATTTGTGATTTAGAATTACCAAAAGTATATTATAAATAGGGGGATTCCAACTAACAAGTTTTCAAAATGACAGACCAAGTTAAAATTCAAAGTAAATTTTTTTTTCAAAAAAATAATTTATTCAAAAGTAAGGTAAAGAAATGTAATCGTAGTTACTGTTATAATTGTATCAATGCAATAAACTATCACTGAAATTAGTTCAGGCAGGAGATATATTCGCAAATTCAAGATTCCCCTCCTTTTATAAACTCATCAAAAGTTAAAATCGATGAATTGATAAAGATTAAAGTCCCATTTTGTCTTTTTAAATGTTTGATCAAATTTCACTAATAAATTTTGGTGGTATTCATTTCCCTTGCATAAGTAAATTTATTCATTTTTTTTTTTTATTATTTATTTGTTTTTTAATTTGAACAAAAACTGTCACCTCTAAAATAAAAAGCAGTTGAATTTATGTGTACTCAATATCTTTGCATTGGAATAAAAAAAAGTACCTTTTTTCTTAACTTCTGTATTATGTACTATGCACCATTTTCCTATTTAAGGCTTTCATATTTATATGAATAATTTTACTTTTGTTTAATAGTATTATCTTATTTTAAAAATAAATGTTTTTTAGATGCTGACTTTCTAAGGTGGTTGATATGGTAGTGATTTATTAATTCTCTTGTTGAAAGTTAAAATAGCTTGCTGCATATTAATTTTTAACTAATACTGTAAATAAAATTTTCTTTTTTTAACTGTTTTTCATACCTGTTCTTTTTTTTTTTCTCCCAATTTTCTCTTTTCCTTTTTCTTTTTTTTTTCTTTTTTTTTTTTGCAATCTCATGCCAGTAGAATGATTTTTTTTTTAAAATAAAAACATTATATATGCATATAATTATAAACTAGTTATTTGGGCTGACACAAACTCAAAAATCTCTTAGTATGCCACCATTTTATTTTAATTCAGCCAGAGCTCATTCTAGGCAGAAAAAGGGGCAGGGTGCAAAAGTTTAAAAAAAGGACATTATTATTCTAAAAAGGCAATAATTTCTTTCCATGGGCCTTACACGTTACATTAAAAAACATTGTCAATTAATAAAAGAATTTTTTTTTTACTTCACTAAAAGTAGCAAAGCAATCATATAAATTACTAATTTTCATTAATAAATTAACATATGTATCGAGTTCATGAGCTAATTAGCTTGGTAATATATTTAAAATGCATGCATATATTAATAAAATAATACATTTATGTTTTTAAGTGTCGGTAGTTATGATTTAATAATTAAAATGACTAATAATAATCATGATTTAATGATAGTGGAAGTAACTGCAAACTTTCAAAGACAAGTGCAACAACGGGGTGTGATGGCTATTTTTCCTTTCTCATATAAATCTATGTATTGACAGCAATGACAAACTAAGTAAAAAGCGTTAAAAATAAAAGTTTGAGAAATCCACTGTAGAGTTTGGGGGAAAAATAAAGTGTTGAGGAATGAAAGTGCAAAAAGGGTATGGAGCAGGGTTGGCAGGTTTTTGACATGTGACAGTTTTTGACAGTTTAAACCATAGTTTAAACCGTCACGTCAAAAACCTCACTGTCAAAAATGTCAAAAACCTATATTCATATGTGAAATTTAATTAATACATAAAATTTATATATTTTTTATAAAGGATAGTGTTTCTAAATATGTTCTAGAAAAAATAAATTTAAAATTTTGAAGAAACACTTATATTTTGAATAGTAACCAAAATCTTGTACTTTTGAAAGCTCACATCTTTTGTAATATTATGTATTCATTTTCATGTGTTATTGAAAATCTGCAGTGATATTATTAAGAAATTTATTTATAACCAAATTTAGTGTATAGTATAGATTATACTAAAAATTAGACATTTTTAAAGATAAACATTAGCAGTTTTGTACATTAGACATCTTTTAAAGAAAAATCTTTTTAATATTCTTTTAAATCTTCTTAATAATCTTTTTAACATAAGACAATACAAATTTAAGTGCTTTCTGTTAAATACACAGAGTAGTTAGTGTCGATTTACAGTATATTCAGCCTATTCATTTACTATGCTGAAAATTTAGTTTATCCAAATACTTGTGAATTTCATTTTGCTGAATACTATATAGTTTTGTTGAATATCTAAATATTCAGCTGTTGAATAATTACTTCTTGCTTTCAAGATATGCATTATTTGTATTCTTAATACAAGTGGGGAAAAAAAATTAAGAGGTAAAAATTGTTTTAAAATGATAAGTGTAATAATTATAAATAAATATAATAAACAATATGAATTATATTTATCATTATTCACAAATATAACTACTTTTAAATTCAAATTAACATACTGGATAATAAAGATATTCGGTATAACATTAAAAATTTTTTTTATACACTTGTATCAAGTTTGTATTTATACAACATAACTTGTAAGTTCCTTATAAATATTAGTTATATGTTCCTTATATGTCAAAAATGCATAGTAATAAACTTTTAATTTTCTTAAGTATCAAAAAAAAAAAAATTTTTTTTTTAAATATAAATATTTAAACAATTTTTGTGCAAAATTTTTCTGCACATGCATTTGAATATAAATTTCTGAGATTTTAAATCTGTTATTTTACCTTAATTTTAATTAAAAAATATTTTAAAACCTGCTGATTACCTATAGTATAATTAAATTTCAATATAATGCATGGCAACTGTTGGTAGTTTTGAAGTTTATATATTTTTTTGGCAAACTTTAGTTTTTGACATTTTTGACGGGTTTTTGACGGTTTAAACCAGTATTATACCCTTGTCATGTCAAAAACCTCTTTTTGACGTCAAAAACCCAACCCTGGTATGGAGTCTTATTACATCAGGACACTAATTTACTTCAGGGGCAATAGGGTGGATTCTTTTGACTAAAAGGGCAGCAGTGTGCTGCGCCCTGCTTACCCTGCCTAGAATGAGCTCTGATTCAGCCACTTGAATGAGGAATCAGTATGTATGACCTAACTTGATTATTTCTCCCTTTTCTTATCTTTAAGAAATTTAATTGTCTTTTCATTATTGGTAATTTGATTTATAGTATAATTTTGATGTGATGAATAATATCAAATTTTTACAGTCTTGTTCTGGCTACCAAAGTTAATTAAAAAAATTTATGCTCACAAAAAAATTAATCTCCGAATTTTTTTAGATATCAGTCATTATATAATATCTGCCAGATAAAAACAATAAAATTTAATATATTATGATTATAATTTCTTGTTCATGTCGATTTCAAATGAAAGCTGAATTTTCTAAGTTACAGCAATGTTTAATGCTATTTGTTTTAAAGTCATTTAATGAGTTGAAAACTGGTTTGTTGGTATGCTATACCTAATATTTCTTGGTTATTTTCTTTTTCCATATTTTTCTACTCAAATCAGTTGAAGTATAGATTCAACATAATAAATTTTGATAATCCTGTATTGGCAACTTAAATTATAAATATTTCCTGAGATGACGGATCATGACTGTTTGAGGAATACCTATATCACACAATGGATTCTACATTACTTAAAATTGTACCACCTCTACTGATGTACATCACTACACGGGGATTCTGAGCTGTCACTGTACTGGCAAGTCAGGGAAACAGCTCATACCTGTGCTTTACATATTTTGCTTATTGTTTCCTGTTGCTCTATTTTTTCCCCCATGTTTCTTTGTAACTCTCCATGCCATTGAAAATATACCTCAAAATATTTCCTAGAAGAGACTCAAAACATCAGGTATTGTAGTGAGTTGTAGCAACACTACAGTATATTATAAAAGTTAGCTCCCTCCAAAACAAAACAAAAAGTTAAGATTGCACATATTATGTTTTTTAATGGACCTTATTGTTTATGAATAAATTTTGCAATTATTAAATTTTGCCATTAATAAATTTTAAGCTTATTATCTAGCTAGGTTTAATTATAAAAATATGTCAGAAATGAAATAATAAAAAATAACAATAAAATTTGATATCTCTGTAATTCAACATTACATTTTTCTAGTTAAACCAACTGAAATTGGTAGCTTAAGGGCTTGCAATCAGATTTCCTTGCTAATAAGCATATTTCATTTATTTTTATTATTTTCAGCTATAGATTTTGGTTCTTTAACACAATCAATGGCACAACAAAAGAAGAAAAAATTGGTATACCCTCCAGGAGTGAAGGAATTGACAGAAGATATATCAACTGATGAACTGAATCAGCGCTTAAAAGTAATAGAAATATCATAAAAATTGTTCTTAGACAGTAGGACACCGATTATCCAGAACGATCGGGACCATCACTATTCCGGATAACTGATTTTTCCATTTTTCTGAATCGCTACAGAAAGTCGTTTTTTTATTGTAAAACCCAACTAAAAAAATATATATATTTGTAAATAATCTTAAAAAGAAGAAAAAACGATGAAGTAATACACTAATGATTATTTCCAAAATGATGGTAAGGTAAACATCTTTCAAAAAAGAAAGAAAAATCCTAAAATCTTATAAGAAAAAAAAAATTTCTTAAAGAAATTGGCGGGAAAATTTATCGAATTTTGTTCCGGTTTTCTGATTTCCGGATAACGGGTTCTGTACTGTATTTTACAAAATAAATATGAAATTCCCTGATGTATGATGAATGTCTGTTTTATAATTTAAGTTTAAATATGTATTATGTTTAAGTAAATAAAATTTGAAAAATAAATTCCAAAAATTTTAATTTATTTTATTAAATTTATTTTATTCCATTTAAGTTTGCATATTTCTATATAAGGTACATTTTTTGGGTGAACTAACATGGATTTAATTTCCTGAATATTAAATGTTTAAAGGTTGATAAAATCACTCCCTTCTTTTATATATTTGACTATACATAATGATTTAAAATTTTATTTGATGAAACTTTTTTTAATATTCTGAACAGAACATTATGAAAAAAAAAGCATTTTAAAATTTTTTTATTTTAAGTATGAGGTATTTTAGAAAATAAAATTTTAAATTATGTAGCATGTTATAACAAAATTGGTATAAAAAGTTATTCTTAATTATACTGCTATTTTAATAAATTTTATTGTTTGAAAAAAAGAAAATTCTTTTCATTGTGCCAGATATTGAAAGCAAAGTTAATATCAAAAGTCATTTTAAATAAATACTTCTCTATTCAAAAAATTAACAAGAATTTTTTTTAATTAATTTTTTGAATTAACAGTTAACGTTAAATAAAGGAAAGATAATAGAAATTATTGTAATTTAGATGTAATTGCACATTTTTTAGGAAACTAAAATTAGCTTCATTTAGTCAAATTAAAATTAAATTACTGATATAGGTTTTATGCATGATAAATTTAAAAATGTCTTAAAAAAAGTAAATAAATGTGAAAAAATTTCAACTTTCTTGTACTAAATAAAATTTTATTTGTTAAAATTGAAATTATTCATATGATTTTTCTTAAAATAAGTAATTCTTAAAAAAAATAATAATAACGATTTTATTGGATTTTTTTAATTTCATATATTTTTCCAGTGTCATGGAAAGCATGTATTGCATTTTTTCCCCCTTGTCTTTATTACCAGTTGTGGGCAATCATCATCATCATATTTGGCTAGACAGCCCAGAGTGGGCCAGTGCCTTCTTTTGAATTCGAATCCACTTCTCTCTACTTTTGACACTTGTTCGCCAGTTTTTCTCCTTTTGTGGGCAATCAGTAATATTAAAAAGATTAAATAATATTGTTTGGTTGTGAAGTAAAAGAGGTAATAGAATGTGTCATATAAACTGAACTATTAGAATACTGTTTCTTATATATATATATATATATATTTGCTTTTATATTCATTTCATTTCTTCTTTTGTTTTAGGTGTGTGTTAAGGTGCTTCAGACAATTAGTCAAGAGGATGATAATTCAAAATACCAACCTTTGGCATTTCATCTGGCATCTGACTTTTTCTTAGACCACCGCAGTAAAAACATCAGACGTGGCGCTGCTCTTTGTATTGCAGATGTTTTCCGTATATTTGCTCCAGTCAATCCTTATAGTGACCCAAAAATTCTTGAAGTATGAATTATTTTGACTTTCTTCTGTATCTATTTTTTTTTATAATTTTAAAAGACAACTTTTGTTGATGATTTCTGACCTTTTTAAACAATAGTAATAGTAGTTTTCAAATTGAACTTTAAAAAATCTATGGTTGTTATAACTAAAAGCAGAAAATTAAAATATANTTTTTTTATAATTTTAAAAGACAACTTTTGTTGATGATTTCTGACCTTTTTAAACAATAGTAATAGTAGTTTTCAAATTGAACTTTAGAAAATCTATGATTGTTATAACTAAAAGCAGAAAACTAAAATATATTTTACTAAAACTGTATTAAAATAACTAAAAATCATTAATTATTTTGAAAGTATTTACTCACATACAAACACCTGAATAATAAATGTTACATGGTACTTCAGAAAACTGATTGAGTTAGTTTTAAATGTAAAAATATCTCCTTTTATGGAATTAATAATTTTTTAGAAAATATTTGTTTTTCATGTTACTTTTTATTTATTTTCTAATTCTGATTTGTATCTATTTCAGGCCTTATTTAATTTATTCATTGATCAGTTAAGAGGTTTAACATCTGCAAGTGGTACAAATTTCACTGGTTCTTTTTACTTGCTTGAGGTAACTTAAAATATTTCTGAATATTTTATAAAGCTTTAAATGTTTATTTCAAATTGACTGAATTGATTATTTGTTTCAGAATTTAACAATTATGAAAACATTCACCTTGTGCCATGATACTATGCAGAAACCTGAAGAGATTGTGATTCCATTATTCAAACAGATGTTTAACATTATAAGGTTGATAATGTCTTTTGTATAAAATTTTCATAAATACTGTGTTGCTTAAATGTGTTAATACAAAATCTAAAGTTATAGTTTTGTTTTCCTTAACCATAAATGCTTTTTTTTATTATTATTATTAAATTATGGCTTTTGAATTTATGATTTTGAAAAGTTATCATATGATGGGTTAAAAAAATGAGACAGGAAATTTTTAGTCTCCTGAATTGAGAAGATATATCTTGAATTTAAATTTTTTGACAAATAGCACATCTGAATACAAAGCTTACTTCAAAAAAATTTTAGATATTTTTTTCAATCATATTTGATCTAATTTTAAGTTGAGTTGAGACATGTATAAACATTTACAACTTCCTTTAACCCGAAACTATCGTTATAAAGGAAGGCCATTAAATTATAAGCAATGTTTTCCATTTTATTTTTAAAGACCTCATTTCTACTTGACTTATTTTAATTAAAATCGACACTAAAGCTGCACAATTTGAATGTAAATTCTAAATTAAAATTTTCAAAACAAATTTAATAAATATTTGTAGATGGAATGATATTTGTAATTAAAATAAACAGTAGGAATTTTTACTAAAATCCCCTAAACTATTTTTTACAATAGAGAATTCTTGTGGATGAAAATGCTCTAAAGTTGTTTAATCGAACTAGAAATTATAGCTAAGTGAGAAGGGAAAAAAATAGTAAATGTATTATCGCAAATTAATAGTAAAAATTAATTGTACAGGGCTGATTGTGCTCCGGAAAAAATCCAGATTTCTTGAATTTTCACTAACAGTGTTCCGGAGATCGGAGGTCCAGACGTTTCAAGAAATCATTGATCACAGAAGTTTCTGGAAATCAAATTTTCAAAGATGGAACTTTAAAACATTGTTTATTTTATTTGTTTGTAAGGGAGAGCCAGAGAGATACTTTATAAGCTTATATTCATGATCAATATTCATTTTTTATCAGTAAATAGTTGTTACAATCATAAACTTAAGAAAGAAAGATATATTTGTAAATTTTAATTACTTCTCCAGATCATCATAGGTATTTGTAAATGGTATAGGTATGTGTAAAATTTTAAATATATTTTAAGTAAACTAAGAAATATTGAGAAAAAGGAAAAAAACCTTGTTTAAATTTTTTTTCTTCTAATTTTTCAATTTAAGCTGTTTTTTTGTTTCGTTTTTTTAAACGCAAGATATTTTCCGGAATTTTGACTTGGGCTCACAATCACCTCTGATTGTATCAAATTTTTTGTTGAAAAGCATAACTTTTAACCCTATGACATTCCAAGTGTGCATTTTGATCTGCATTGTTTTCCACATAGGAAAGCAAGTTTTTTCATGTTATTGAGTAGTAGTATTCTTTCTGCCTTCAAAATTGCCTGTTTTTGTGACTGGCAATTTCCCATGTTTTGTAACAACTAATTACTTAATTCTATGACTACCACACATTGTAGAGTGTGTAGTAGTATTTCATAATGATGATAAAATATTTGATTTAATTAAATAGCTTACAACTTTGAATCATTATTCACTAAAATGTTATATTTTTTCTCCAGGGTCCTTGACAATCTAAAAGTTAGTCGTTTGACATTAAGCATGTTATGTCCTCTGATTGCAGAATCTGATAATGTGCCACACCAGCTTTTATTGTTTATTTTAACTCAAATTATTGAACCAAATAAGGTAATCACTATTTCTTAAAATTTTTATATAAAGATATTTATTCTAATTTATAAGTACTTATAATACCATTATGTTACAATTTCAGTCTTCTTGTGAAAGAACTTACAATTTGGCTCAAGATTTGCTTAAGCAGACAGCAACAGTATTGGAACGATATATACAAACTGTAAGTTTATTGCAAGATTGTCCTAGATTTTTGTACTTGACTGTCAAAATGCTCATCTGCAACAATGATGTATACCAAAAGCTTTCTAAGAAGAGTCTGCTATTCTCTTAGTTTTTGTACAGTTCCAAAAAACAATCTTAAGAAGAAAAAAAGTTAATCATCATTTGGCTTTTTTATTTCTGATGTTCAATGATTTAATAATACTTTAACATTGAAATTTTAAGCTTGCAAATGTGAATTCGTGTCCATTTATACTAAATCAGTGACACATTATACCCCAAACACACCTAATATTCAATAGTGATTTTGCTTTTGTACCATAACACGTCAAATACGCCGAAAAACGTAAAGACCTGAAAAATAAGTTGGGAACGAGTAATCTAAATCTTGGAAAAGTCTGTTTTTCTTTGATCAGTCGCAATTCAAAGATTAAATGTTCAATTCAAATATAAATCTTCCTCTTTTGAAATTTTTAGTTTTATTTATTAATAAATAGAATAGTTACAAATATAAACATTAATAAAGGGATATAGAGGACCATGAATATAATTAGAGGAATGAGAAGTCATATTTTAAATAAGGACTCACTTTTGGCAAGAAAGAACCCAGAAATATGGAAGTTTTGGGTCTTAATGACCCATAGTTTCCAAAATCTAGTCGAATCTCTGCTTAAAGCATTATTTATTCTATGATAAATTATGTTCTGCCACCATAGAATAGCTAGGATTAAAGTATTATTAAATCTAGTTAAATGCGACAATAAACAATTACAGATTCTATTGATAAGAATGGTAATAACGATGAAAAATTTAATCAGAAAGAAAATGAAAATTCTTTCAACTTAAAACTATTTTCAAAAAATGCTCACGCTGAAAATAAAATAAAAGACTGATTTACAGTAGAAGTCCGATAATCCGGCACGTACGGGACCGGCCCGGTGCCGGACTACCGAAAATTCCGGTCTATCGGGCAGTAATTATAAGAACAATTAGGTTAATAATTAAACTACAAATACAGCATGCAAAGACATACAACAAAGTTTATTTTACATTTCATATACTGTATGTACACGTACTGTAAAACATATTTCACTTAGATTTAAAAAAGTCACGAGTGTCTTTTTGTTTTCTTGACTTTTGGCGTTTAGTATAAAATTTATTTCTAATGATATGGAAATCAATAATTTCTGAAGCACTGTAGCTAGTACTAGCGTCAGCAAAAGAGATAAACTTATTTAGTGATTCTGTAGCTTCCGCCCAGCTGATTTTTTCCTCTTCTTCCGTTTCGGCACCTGAGTCACTTTCTTCAAGATTTTGAGTAGGCTGAGGGTTTACTACAATGCTGATAATGTCCCCATCTATTAGTTCTTGTTCAACAGGTTCAGAACTCGAAGACTTAGGTTTTGAAAACGTGGTCACTGTACAGTTAGAACGAAAATCACTTTTTTTATAAACAGTTTCAAAAGTTGCGTTTACTGCGATGTGAAAGGACACAAAACAACACCGCACAAAAAAATGGCGAAGACGCTTCGAGATTGATTAACGGAGCTACACTGCACCTGTTGTTTCCGAACAATACCGAGCTCTTCCTGATGATCTCGAACTACCCCGAAAACTTCCGAATAGCACTCGAGCCTTTTCATTTGCTTTAAAGACACACTTTTGGAGAAAACCAAAATTTTTACAATTTTCCGGAGCGATGCCGGACTATCGGGCATTCCGGACTGTTGGATGCCGGACTAATGGACTTCTACTGTACTCACTTATGGGCATATATTAGTTCTGAACATTTTTGTTGTAACCATTCTTCATATTTCGATATACAATATCCTGTATATAATGTTTCTGTATTAATACTGTATTAAATATACAATAAAAATATGTTTTTACTTAAAAACCATTATTTTATTTCAGTTCAGAATAATTAATATTACGAACATGAATTATTTGATTGGCTCAAAATTTTAACATAATCTATTATTTTCTGGAAAAAGTTTTTGTTTTAATTGTTTTTGACCTTTTTTAGTCATTTATTAAAGCAATGGACAGTCAGCAAGAAGATGTTATTTCTGAACATCTTTATGAATTAATATATGAACTGAATCTAATCATTCCCTCTGAAATTATTGTGGTGGTAAATAACTTAGAAAATAAACTGATGGTAAGTCTATTTAAACTTCATTTTATCTTTAAATTTTTTTTAAGCGTATTTTCAAGTTATATAAATTTTGACAGCATTTTCAGATATGATCATCGGCAACTTAATGTAAAATAAATTTATTCAATCTTTGAATGGTATCAGTATCTGATATATATGCTTAAAGTAGTTATGACTTCTTTAATGTGAAGCACCCTCCAAAAGTTCATAATTATCATTTGATGTTATAATTCTTTATTTAATAAAAAAAATTCTGTTGCCCAAATATATAAACAACTACAAAATTATGCATAAAAATACTTAATAATATTCAATTCCTAGTTTTGAAAGCTTACATGTCTTAAATAAAAATGCAAAATCAACCTAAGTCTTCAGATAGTCTGGTAACCTGCCTACAGATCGAAACTAAAATGCATAAATAATTTTATAAGGTTTGTACTGTAAAATATAATTTTAATTTCTAATTATTTTTCATGAAGTTTGTATTTTTAACCTAAATGGATTATAATTGTTAGATATGTTATTGAACTTGTTATATCCGTAATTTGTGTTCTCAAAAATATGCAAAATATTTTTATATATTAATTTTGAGTTTTACATATTTTCTGCAATAAAAATAAACATATTTTTATAAGAAGTAGGTTTTAAATACTATTGTTTTAAATACTAACAATATACTGCCGAAAATTTTTAATTTTGTCAAATTATTTAATACAATATATATATATATATATATAGTNGTATTAGAATATATATATATATTTGATAAAATTTAGTCTACTTATGAGCATATCTGTGGAAGCACAATAATGTATTGTTCGTAATTTTCTAAACTTTCCTTAAATTTTTTTTAATTTAAATTATTTACAGTCCAGCTTGGAAGAGGAACGGATTGAGGTTCTGACACTTTTGTCAAAATTGTTTTCTGATAAATCATCAAAGATGATTGCACAAAATAAAGTCCTCTGGAGCAGCTATATTTCAAGGTTATTATTTGATTTTTATATTGACTTTTAAATTTAAAAATTGAAAAAAAAATTTTAAATGTTCTTTTATTTTTTTAATAGATATAAAGATGCATCCACTAAAGTTCGCTGCTTGCATATGAAGTTCTCTAAAAATTTACTAATGAATCATCCACAAACATCAAAACCAGCCCTGATTGGTATAGTTTTTTTATTTCTTATTATTATATGGAATCAATGATACAGGCCCTCCCTATGCTCAAAATCATAAACAAAATGTTATTCTCCAATCTCATAATTTCAGTACAATTTTAAAATGTAATCATGCTTGTTAAATACAATGTAAATTTAAGAATTTCTAACCATGTATGTTCCACATTGAAGTGCACATATATAAAGATCTTGTGCTCTTTTTAGCGTTTCTCCTCGCATTCATTGGATAGCAGCGGGCCATCCTCTCACAATACTTCTAAGTATTATCTTATCAAATGATCTATATCTTTGATTATATTTACACTTTGCTGATAGATTTTCTAGATTCAACGAATGAGAATTATGAAAAGAGAGTGAAATATGGATCTCTTTTCATAAATGTGCTTACAATAAAGGAATCTATTTTTTTTTTAATTTTATTAGTTTGAACATAAAAGAATCAAAACAAAAAAAAGGACCATCTGATTTAACATCATACAAATTTTAAGTGTGATCTTTTCTCCAAAAAACAAAATTGTTTTCTCAATCTTCTAACAACCTGTTAAGTGCTTCAACAACACGGGAATGTACAAAATTTTATATTGATGTACATTGGCAGACTCAAGGAGCACTTAAATATCGTCTCAGAGAACATAAAAGCTCTGTCAAGAATCAAAAACTCCACCTCTTATCTATAGCAAAACCTTGCTTGACAGAAGGCTATAGGTCCAATTTTTCCTCACATCATCATTCATATACATGTCATGTATTTCATACGTTAACATTGATTTTTGGGAAAGTGTTTCCAACAGCAAAAACTCTATTGTTAATGATCTTACTGTTATACTATATTTTTCAAATATTTAGATTAATTAATATTTTAGTCTTAATTCATTTACTGTCAATTTAACTATGTTACTTTTAACTGTGTCCTTATCTTTTTACTGTGATATAACCTCTGTCAAATTACATAGTCTCTGTTTTGTCATCCCTGCCACTTAACCTTCCCTAAGGTGTAATAATGTGCTACTGAAATGTGTATAGGTTTTAATAAAATTTTACTATTTTTGATTTTTGAAAGTTTTTTTATTGAAATTTAATTTTATAAAAACAAATTACTCTCATAATTTTACAAAGAGTGTGGTAAAGCAAGGTTTCAAATTATCCTATTGGATAATTTGAAAAGTTGGTTATGAAAATAAAACCTGATAGATTTGTAAGAATTTTTGAAATAATGTTCAGCTATATAACTTTAAATTTCGCATACAAAAGTGGTCTGAGACAGTTTTTATAAATTAAGATAAAATCAAGTCGTTCCTCTTCTATTGACATGCGATTGGCTCATTGTAACAAACTCCACCTGTGGCTTAAATTCAATTCTTTCTTACAAAATATTATTACCTTTATTATTTAATTTACTTAATTTCTAAGAGGCTTTATCTTTTTACGTTACATTAGTTTCGTTTCAAATTTTCCTGATAAGTTTAAATATTTAAAAAATATGAAGTAAATAATAATATATTTTATTCTAGAATGCTTTATGTTCAATATTATTGATCCTGATGATAAAGTACGCAAGCGAACTTGTCAAACCATTTCAGAAACTGTTCCAGAGCTGTACGATGTCCTAGATCCTAAGTTGTGGGAAAGATTCGAAGGACGTGCTAGAGATACAAATGTAAGTTCTACGTTCTTTGTTTTATGATTTAAACGAAACCTAATCTGTAGCTTTTTTAGCAATGTATACTAATTTGCTACTATTCAGTATTCTATACCTCGAGAAAACGTCCTGCAGTTGACTGATCGTAAAGACACGGTTCCCAGTAGAACACCTAAGTCAATGTAATGGCTGCAGTCAGTAAGCGGGGTGGGTAACCACTTTGATCAGCTTGCGTGAGGACCATGGGTGCTTGGTATCAATCCTCGTTAAACTATTCTACCGTAAAGTGCTCAAGTTTGCGCTCAGATCGCCGAGCTACCAAACCAGAGGAGCCATCCCCTATGCAGAGGATCAAAATTGTGATGGTATGTCTCTGGATCATCTTTAAGGATGTTTCCCAGACCGTCACCAATAGCCCATTGTGCAGCTGTAGTGTGACGTAAATAAAGTATCTATCTACCTCTAGAAAACNAATCAGGGAAATTTGAAATCTGTTTTGAGTGGCCACCCTGATAAAGTATCTATCTACCTCTAGAAAACTATCATAACAGCACTAAAAAAATTATTTGGTTTGCTGAATTTTTAGCTAGACCAAATAACTTCTTTAGAAATTCCTTTATAAACAAACATGTGCTTTCCAAGTGTTATTTTAAGTATGGTTTACATAATATAAAACTATTTGAACTTATTACTGTTTTAATTATTTTAAAAAGTATTTTATGCAAATTGGATTTTTTTTTTTGTTAAAAAAAACATCAATTTTTCTTTAGAAGCTAGTAAAAAAATAGAAAAAATTGTCTGTAAGATATTGTTAATTGAAAAAGAATAGACAATGACCCGATCTGTTGGATTAAAACATAATTATATAGTGTATGTGAAAAGCAGTCACCTCTCATTTTGAAGAGAAATAAATTTTTTCCAGCTTTTTTTTTTTTTTTTTAAATTAATTAAGAAAAGTACAAAAGGATAGTTAAATTTAAATTATGTGCAGGAAGATATAACTTATATAATTTTTAATACCAAAACATGTAATGATTAAATTGACTTTCAGCAGTCATTAAAAACTATTTATTTCTCATCAATCGTTCTTGCGTGAAAAATATTTTATGAATGTGTTTGTGAAAGGTATTAGAGGTTTAACTATAAATTTAAGTGTTAAATAACACTGTAAAGCTAGGAAATATCTAATACCTGTTAATGGCATAATAGCAATATGAAATGAGATATTTTATGAAATTGGTTAAACGGTCCTGGCGTGTTTCTGACTTACAAGTAGCTCAGAACAGAAAAAAACTTACACTTTCCGTTTTATTCTTAAAACTGTTTCATATTAATTTACAGTATGAAATTCGCCAAACCGTCCTGACATGTTTTAGAAAACTTTACCAGCGTTGGACTGAAAAAGGAATTCCACCAGTGCTGTATGACGCAAATTTTAAATTGGATGGGATATTGAACAACATCCTGCATCAATATTCTGAAAACAAGTAAGTCTTGAATATCATAACAAATCATTTAAAATATTTTATTTTAAATGGTCAATAAATTAATAATATCCACACAAAAAAAGCAAACATTTATTGACCTTGGCACCAGACTAACTTAACAATATAGTTGAAAAAATAGTTATTTTGTAAAATATTATGTTGAAACAGCTTACAGCTGTGTTATGTTCACATCCGAGCTGAAATTATTTTGCTAAATCAAAATACATTTTTTTTTCCTAATTTGGATTTTTCTAAATACATTTTATGCATAATTATTAATAAGTTTAGTTCACAAATTTAAGTATTTAAAACTGATTTTGCTTGTTTAGGTTAATAAACCATATTTATGTAATTATATTGAGTATTAAAATAAATTATCACATGTAAGCTTTTTAGTCAAATGTTTAATTTTTCTTTCTAGGCAACTTGTAGAACAGATTTTTAATTGTTATGTGGTCCCTTACCAGAAACCTGCAGAAGAAAGAATGAAATTATTTTATCAGTTATATTGTTCAATAGATGAACGTGCATTGAAGTAAGTGTTTGCTTCTTTCAATAATTTTAGTTTGATTTTAATTCTTTGATTTTTCCTTATGATAATATTTTATTGTAATTTTTATTAACATGTGATTGCATTTCGCAAAACTGGATAATATGTTGCTTGAACTCAATTCTTAAAATATTGCTAGATATATTTTATTTAATATTATGATGTTTAACTACACGTATTGTGGTGTGATAGAATTTTATTGATTTGCTATTTGTGACACCTATTAATGTTTAAACTAAAAACTCAGTCTGAGTAATTATTAACTGATTAATTAATAATTTTGTTTTATAATTGGCTAAATTTTCTATTATATTGAGGCTTTCGTTAAATTATAATTATTGTAACTAAAATTTAAGAAAGCTTTTTTACAGGGCCTTAGCTGGAATGATCAAGACAAGAAATGTGTAAGTGTAAAATTTGTTATTATTTGGTTTGTGAACGTTTCATAACTTTCTTATTTATTATTAAAATCATTTAAGCATTTTAGATTATACTAAACTTCTTCTTTTATAAATTTACAAATATTTTAAATAAGTTCTTATCAGTTAGTAGTCATACTTGCCTATTTTTGGATAGTTTTGTGAAAAGGCATTTAAATGACTATTATACAAAGTGTACTTTATTTTAGCTCTATTATAAGCAGAATATATAAGTTCTTATCAGTTAGTAGTCATACTTACCTATTTTTGGATAGTTTTGTGAAAAGCATTTAACTGACTATTGTGCAAAGTGTACTTTATTTCAGCTTTGTTATAAGCAGGATAATTATTTTTATATTTATTATTTGCTTTTTCACAGTTATGTTGATTCAAAAATTGCAATTTTTTTTTCTCTAATTTATTTGAATATTTCACTAAATTAAAACAGATTGCATTTTTCTATTGTAATTATAATCCTAAGTTTTATCCCAGGTTGCGCGCTCATGTTAATAAACTTTTAGAAGTAATGGACAATTATGAAATGAAACGGTATAACGTCTGCAAAATTGCTCCAGTGTTATCAGGTAATTTTATTGCTCAAAGAAGCTTCATGCAATTTTACTGTCTTTTCTAGTTATACTATTGCACAAAATGATTATGTAGTTTCATTTATTTAAGAAATCTTGTTCATAGATGGCCATAACACTATATTATCCTCAATAAATTTTATTACTTACAATTTTCATCTTTGAAAGTTATTTTAGATTACATTTTTACACCTTGAAAATATCAAAGACAAAGATAGGAAGTAATTTGAATATGAAAGTTTGCTCTGTATCAAAAATTAATCTAACTCTTAAAGTAAGACATGGTTTTAAAAAGCGGTGTGTTGGACTTAGCTTATTTGGTCTGGTCTCTGCTTTTTGCTCTGGTTAGTTAAATCCTATAGATTAGAAGAAAAACAAGGTTTTTTATCTTGTGGAAATAATTTAGATGTATATTTATAAATAGTGTGTGGACAAAAATATGACTTAAATGAATAGTGTGAATATTATTTTAACAAATCACAAATTTATTTATCACATTTGAGTATTTTTAAGACTAGTGTTTAACTGAATGATTGAAAAAGTACCTACATTTCATAACCACATTTATTTAATTCATTTAAAAAGGTATGCAAATGAATTCTTTGCAATTGCTTCCTAGTTCCAGAATATTTCCTAAAACAATTTTTGCTATAATTTTTTTTTGTCAGATTTTTTGCTTTTAGTTTCAAGTACTGGCGCCACATCTTTATTTTTCAGCTCAACATTTTGTGCTTTGTAACACATGACTTGATATATTTTACCTCTCACTATATATTTTACCTCTCACCACAAATAAAGGCTCAAATTTCTGATCACCATGTGATTTTTGGGTGATAAAATAAAAACAGAAAATACGTTTTCTTATCACCATTAAAAAAAATTTGAAAACAATATTTTAAATACCATAGAAAGAGTGTGAGCCTCAATTACTGCCGATACTTAGCCCTAACTACTATGAAGTATCCAAGCTCGTCTCATGCTTTTTAAAAATGAGTTGTGGCTTACTTTTGAAAACCAAAAAATTTAATTTGAGCCTGGTATCCAGATGGGCTAACAGCTTTATTATATTGTGTATACATGTCAAATAAATGCCCATGGAGTTTTGGTTTGTTAAATAAATAAAAAACTACATGTTGTCATTTAAAATTGACTATCACTACCTTAAAAAATCTATTTAACCTCATTGGCAAATCTCAAAAAGGTTCGTATGAAACTTTATCCCCAGTAAAACGAAAATTTTAATGATTTTTTTTTTTTTTTTTTTTTTTTTTTTTTTTTTTTTTTTTTTTTTNTTTTTTTTTTTTTTTGCTTTAGATTTTTATTAGTTTGAACCAGTTATAAAAATAGTAAATCTTTTTTATTAACACTATTGAGAAATTCTAAAAAGTTGGTTGTAAGTATATTGCATCTCTTTCACTAAACCCTAGTTACGTACATCATCACATCTCCATGTGAACAAATAGCAGCTAAATGGTGATAAAGAAAAAAAAATTCATTATAACTTGATAATTCTTCATGAAAAATAAAATTTTACTAGATTTCACTATTTATTTACTATAACACTTTTCAATCCTAATTTTGGGGAGGAAAAAAAAAATTTAAAAAATAATAAGTTTTCTTATTTTAAAAAATATTTCAAGATAGATAAATTACATTGTATTAAAGAGAGAAAAAATTATAGCTGTTCTTTGTTTAATATCATAGTCTTTGCTGATCTATATAGCAGATGTTTTTTAGTAATAGTCATCTAACATTTATTTTTAGTGTTTTCTAAAGAACCAAATAAAGGAAATGCCTATGCCACTGCTTTTGGTAAACTTTTAGAAAAAAATGCTAGATTAAATAACCTTATTGGTTCGGTTGCCAATGGAAGCATTTCTTGCTCTGCAGCAGCCATACGTTACGTAAGTATATTCAATTATTGATTACTTTCATATTTCTGTACATTTTAGTTTTAGTCATATTGTTATTACAATTAATACACTGTAATTCAAAGTGTGTTACAACTCAATTATTTTTATGGGTGCCTGATCATTTTACAATAACTTCATGATAATTATTCTTGATTGTTGTATACTTCCAAATGCTGGCTGATAAATTTTGGATGAATTTCAAAGCTTAATTGAGTAGGTTGGTACATAATCAGATCCTGTTTTAAATTTCTTGCGAACAATGCCAACAATAACACTTTTCATTCAGTTGAACTTTATCTATAGATCACTAAATATTTAAAAATGGCACATGTAAATTCAGAAAATAGCAATTGAAAATAAGATCCTAAAAATAACAGTTGAAAAGGAAACTCATAAAGTCTCAATTAAACAAAAAAGTCAGTAAACTAAGATGGCTTATTATTGCAAAAGGGAATTCACGGATAAGCTTACATTCAGCACTTGTTTTTATTTCCTTTAACTCAATTTCTTGTTTACGCTCTTTTTTTAAAAAAGACACTGTTTTTATTTTAAAAAATCAAAGCAGTGATAGTTTCTTGTGCCCTCTCTTAAAAATTATATAGTTCCTGAGAATCAAAATTTAAAAATATCATATTTTCAAAGTTCAATTTCTCAAGATCAACTGATTTTGCTCAAATTTTGTATTATGTTATGTAAAATTACATTCTTTAAAATGATGTAAAAATTGTATACCTTACAATTCTAAATTTTTTCAATAATTATTAAATAGAATAATAAAAAATACTACCACCTATATTTTGGGGGTGGAAAATCTGAATCTATATTTTATTCAGAAAGGATATATTTATTCATTCAGATATATTTATTCAGAGAAGATAAGCTTTTGCATCTGATTTTGTAACTTAAAATATCGCCTGCAGTAATTATCTAGCTTATTGGAGATCACCCCTTCGAACTAAGTTTGAACTCCTAGAATGAGAAAATCCGATCATTAGATTAATAGTTATTCAGGGTGGTCAATTTTTAATTTTGTGCACTGTACATTATAGACTAAACCAATCAAATTAAGTTGATTTAATGCAATGAATAGATAACACCTTAGTTGAATGAGTAGACTTGTTTTCTTTCACCTTTAGTGTTTGCGTTCTCAGAATCATTACTCAGGTGTATTGTGTTAGAATTTCGAATCGATATGAATCAAATTTATCCTGTACATTTTATGCCCATCGAAATCTGATGACTGCGTTCTTCATATGCTGCTAGAGTTTGAGTTGAAGCAGATTTTGTATCTTTCAATTTATTATTCTATTTTATTTTTTAGAAAGAAATATTGGAAGAAGTTAAGAATACTGAAAAAACTGAATTAACGAGTTTCGTTGCCCAAATGATAACATGTATTGTACCTATTATTGACAAAGAGTGCTTAAAACATCTGTTGACTTTTGTGGATAATTCATTCCAAGGAGATTGTTCTATTGAAGCTGATTTAGGTTTGGAAAATACATTTTTGAGAGGATTCGAATTGCTAAAGGTAAGTGGACCAGGGCTGATTGTGCTCCGGAAAAAATCCGGATTTCCGGATTTTTCGCTAACCGTGATCCGGAAGTTTCCGGAGATCGAAGATCCAGACGTTTCAAAAAATCCTTGATCACAAAAGTTTCTAGAAATCAAATTTTCAAAGGTGGAACTTAAAAACACAGCTTATTTTATTTGTCTGTAAGGGAGAGCCAGAAAGATACTTTATAAGCTTATATTCAAGATTAATATTCATTTTTTATCAGTAAATAGTTATAATCATAAACTCATGAAAGAAAGGCATATATGTAAATTTCAATTACTTCTCCAGGTCATCATAGGTATGTGTAAAATTTTAAATATATTTTAAGTAAACTAAGAAATATTGAGAAAAAGGAAAAAATCTTGTTTAAATTTTTTTCGATGTAAACTTTTTTTTTTTTACTCAAGAAATTTTCCGGAATTTTGTCTTGGACTCACAATCACCCCTGGTGGACTGTTGGCTAGAAAATGTTTTTAAATTATGCATTTTAAAAATTTATAATTAAGTTAAAGCTTAAATTAGTTTTCTTCTCGTGAATTATTATTTATTCTTTGCTGTTTTTAAGTCCCAAAGTTATGTTCAAATAATTAATTCTAAATAATTTTCGCATGTTTGCTTTTACATTCTCTGACATATATAGTTGTTTTTATTTAAAAATGTTTACATCTATATTATTTGGAGTACAAATTAGTTCCAACCGTTTTTTGTGGTTAAAAATGCATTTATTTTAGAACAAATTGAATTAACAGATTAATCAAAGTATTCTCCATCGCTGGCTACTACTTTTCCCCCCTCACAAGCAATTTTTGAATTCCATCTCGAAAAAATGTCTCATCTTTTAGGGCAATTCAAGTTAGGGGCCAATTTTCCATTTCTGCGAAAGAAGTGAACCGGTGACCTGGTGATCGTGCTGCATATATCGGAACATCCAGTAATCAGAAGGAGCAATGTCCGGCGAATGCGACAGGTGCAGTAAAATATCCCGCTTCAGCAGTTCCAAATTATTTTTGCGACATGAGGCCGAGTGTTATCATAGAGAAGAATAACTTTCTCATGCCTTTGCTCCTATTCTGGCCGTTTTTCTCGTAATGCACGGCTCAAACGGATCAATTGTAGCCTATCCCGATCACCAGTAATGGAATCGCCAGGTTGTAGCAACTCATAGTATACAACACCATTCCCTACATGATTTATCAGTTGGAGCATTGTCACCATCAACTTCTACAGGCATACAATACGCTTCAGCTTCACTTTTCTTCCAATTAAAGCAGAAACATAAAACCACCCACAAATGCTGCTCAGTTACCACAAAATTTGACTTATCCAACAAGTTTTTGTATGAAACTCAAAGCGATATGAACTGATTATTATTGACAGATGTCTAACCTCTAAGAAACTACCAAAACCAGCTTTCACTATGAATCATTCATAACAGCCAGAGCCATCTTTTGAAAATGGGCCAAGCTAATTTGTACTCTCAATATCTATGTGTTCCATTATTCTCTTATGTGATACCATCAACTCGAATGTTTATCTATTGGCAACATTTATTATTCATTTTGTTAGGTGGTCCTTTAGTAATAATTTATGCAGTGTTAATAAATTAGTTGTATGTTCAATACTTATTTTGATTCATTTTGTTAGATTGTCATAAGCAATAGTTTAAGTAGTGTTGAATGGTAAGTTATATATTAAGTAATTATTTACAATAATTTTATNGGAATATGCTGTTTAGTAATTTATATCCTTCCTATTTGTAGTCTGATGATTTTTAAAGTAACTGTAGAAATATTGAACATGAATAGTATTGTGGTGCCTCATGCTTTCAAATCAATTATTGTTAACAGAGCTTGCCTTTTTCAATGCTGAAATATCCTGAACTCATACTTATGGTGGTTTGTGGAATTTAATGGTTGTTGACATATTTTAAATTATTACTAAAATTCAATGCTTAAAAAACTTTGAAATTATCTCTTTCCAGATTGTAAAAATAAAATAAAAAATTTGTTAATGTATTGTTTAAAAGTTAATTAAGGTGTTAAGATAAAAGGAAGACTTAAAACATTTAAATATAATTGTGCTGTGCGTTCATCTTGGTTGCCTTTAAAGTTAATATGTTGTACAAGAAACAAATATTTATTGCCCCTTTGCAGCTTATTAATGTACCAGTGAAACCACATGTTGTGTAAAACCACTATTAAATTAGCATAATATCGTGCCAAGTCTATATAGAACAAGTCTAACACCAAAACATTATATTACTCTTTAAAATAACATGCTTTATTAGCTTAACTAAAGTTCATTGCCTAATTGATAATAAAATGTCAGCATTTGCTTGTTTATTTATATGTAATTTTTTTTCTGAAAGCATTTTATTCACGACTCTCTTTATTTCCTCACAAATAAATTATAACAGACCATTTAATTAATGCTATAGCTATCGTCATGGGCCGTTTACTAATTCTGATTGCTTGTGAGTCCTCCAATAATATCTTGTCGCTCACTTGTGGATGGTTTGATTTCAGATATATTTCTTTATTTTTTTAATAATATACAGGGATATATTTTAGAAGATCCAACTGAAATCATAATCCTGGGATATGATCTTGGATATAAAGAATTTAATCAAGAAGATCATTGTTGGTAGCATAAATGTCAGCCTGAATTTGATCTAACAATCAAGAAGCTTTAAATAAAATTTTAGCTTTCATTGCCTGTAAAAGTTTACTCCCCATTTTCATTGTAAATGAGGGTTTACAAAAATCAACTAATACACACCAAAAATGTTTTGTAGAAGTAGTTATTGAAGTTAGAAATAACTCCTCATAGAGTTTGTCAATGTAAAGAAATTTGTATTTATTCTAATATAAACTTTTCTTAGGTGTTATCTTTATCGAATCCTGCTTTGTTTCAAGATGAAGAAACATTCAAACTTCTCATGTCGTATATTCGTGTTCAGAATGAGGAGGTGACTGTACCAGCCTTACAAATACTCTGCAACATCTGTAAAAATTTAACTGAAAATTATCTTGCCATGTATGAGTAAGTTTCACTCATCTTTATCATTATAATTATGGTTTATTTAGTAAACTTTATTGTAAAAATTGTTTGTTTTGTTTTTCTCTAGGCAACTTTCTCCCATACTGTTACAATATGCAGAATATGGGAAACCTATGCAAGCAAAGCATTCTGTGTTCCTTCTAAATAAAATTGTGCCAGAAAATTCAAGGACTGAATTTTTTATGACCTTGATGCGAGTATGTGAACTAGTTAGTTTCTCTGTGTGTTTTGTAGAGTATATGCTATTGTTTGCTTTATAGCAAAATACTGCAGGCATGTGGAATTCCGCGAATCTCAAGACCGTTGATTTGAGAATTTCCGGGAATCAGTAATTTAAGTTTTGTTACCTACGCAAAAATGCTTTATCAAAACATATAGACTCTCCTTATCGACAGTTATCATTACTGATTTTTTGCATATTTCTTAAAATATTAATATTTTTAATAGAATATTATTTATTAAGACATGTGAATCTCGAACCATACATTTAATTAACTCTTTTTTTTTTTATGCACCCAATTGGTGTAATTATGAGGTAAACACTCTTGGTTTTATCGTCCATCCTTTTTTTCGTTATTGCTTTGGATTTCGCAGTTTCTTAATTTCTTTTTCTTTTTGATGTGATGATAACTTGCAAAGTGCGAAAGGGAGAAATATGTAAATTTTTTTCAGTCTATATATTTTTTTTATGTGTTAATGAGAGAAGAATGTATTAAATAAAAATTTCTGTTTTTAAAATTTATGAATCTGTACAAAAAGAGAAAAAAATTAAGTGTGGAAAAAAACTATGTCTAAAAAAATTGTTCTTGTAATAATTTTTTTTTTAATTCTAAACTAATGGCAAATATATGTGTTTATAATAATATGTAAACACTTACTTTATTTTAACGTATTTTATAATAAGATGTAGTTGAAATATTAATAATAAAGTTTTTACCACCAGTTAAAGAAGTCAATAAATATTAATAAAAGCAGTCTGAGAAAAGTCAGGGAATTTTTTTCTGAGTATTTGTCGTCACCTGTGAAAAAGTATCGTTCACAATTTCTTATCTGACAAAAAAATTGCAATGGGTGGTAAATATTACAAATTTCTCCTTTGTTCTACTTTAACATGAATTATGTCTAAATGTGTTAAATATGGTATTCTAGATGGTTACTACCTAAAGATGTCTCTGTTGAATGGATGTGTTTACTAGAAGAAATCAATTATAAAAAATTTGGTATTTTAGAATTGTTAATTGAAGCAGAAGCAATATTACTCATGATTCCCTATCCTCAATTTTTAAAAATACGAATAGACTGTTGTTATTCACATTTATCTTGAATTTTCTCTTCGCTTTTAAATTAGTTGGAAACGGGTATAAACACTAACTTCTTATCTTAATTTAATTAAAAATAATTTCATTTATATGATAAACTTACTGTTCCTAACTGCTAGTGCTTGACAATATTAGAAATATATCAAGTATAATTCATAATTTCATAAGGTTTTATGATGTTTTTCGATTTCATCTAATTTACTTTGTTTTGTGTTTACTGATAGAATATTAAGATGTAGCACACTCTGTGATATTATTTGGACCGGGTCTGTTTGTATTGCTGTATCAGTTACTAATTTTTTTTTATCAAAATAAAATTTATAAACTCTCACAATAACATCGTACTCAAGTACGCCTAATATAGAGTAAGCCTACATGCTTATTTATACACAGCTATCAACCAGAAAAGTCACAAATTTATGCAGTGTTTTGTTTGGCTAGAGCTTTGTAATTCAGGTCTTAGATACAAACTTAAAAATGGTTTGTAGTGTTTTGAAATTGTGTTCTAAGAAGTGATTGTTGAAAATTCTCTTTCAGACTCTACAGATTCATTTTACTCTCAAATCTCAACATTTTAAAACTGCTTTAGTATCATCTGGTCATATTGCACAAAACTGGCGTCATTTGTTCCCATATCCAAAATTCAAAGATATGGTCACCTTCATCTTTTCAACTGTTCTTATGCATGATGGCATAAGTATCATGCATGTCAGAGTAAGTACTCTGCTTATATTGTTTGTTTTTTGTTTTGTGAACTTGCATAATAAGTAAAACTTACCAAACACGCACACATTTAAACTTTTAACGATTTTAAAGATAAGCAGGTTACTCACCTCTTATTTAATCCTAAAATTGTTGAAAAATTGAATGATAAATACTTAAATAAAATGAAATAAAATATAAAACCTTAGAAATCAGAAAAAGTAATGTGTCGAGAGTTGATAAAATTTTCTATATGGCATTTTGTTCATGAAAATAATGAGAAAATTTCTAATAAAAATTCATATTCCATTGCACAGTTACCAACTAATTGTTATTTATAATTTTTTTATTGCAAATTCTATTTTACTTCACTAATTTTTTTTCCTTCCAAATATGTTATGTTTTTTCATTGATATTAAAGACATTCAGTTTAATATTCTTTTATTTTTGCCATTTTTTGACTTTATAAGCAAATAAAATTTATGAAATTGATATTTTTTCTATCAACAAAGATTTTATGTCCCCCAAATTGGCATACAGGTAAAAATAATTTTCGGCAAGAACCAATTCAAAAATGTAACTTTTGTCAAAATATTGTTTTTAACTTATGTGTAATTCAGTGAATTTGCAAGGAATATGCTGTTTAGTAATTTATATCCTTCCTATTTGTAGTCTTAAATAATAATAATATTCACTCAAAATATATATTTAAAAGAAAAGAGAAACCACTCATACCATTAAATGTTTTTTCCCAAAATTTCAGGATTATCCCCGAGGTGGTACTGCACTGTGGGGCCCTTATGACAATCTCCCAGATGAATCAAAAGTGAAGGTATAATTTGCTTTATTTAAAAATACTATTTTACCTTGCATTTTTGGCCCATTATACTGATTTGTGATAATTTATATTTGAACTAAAATAAAACTGTGCAATGCAGTATAAACATCAATTATTTTTTAATTGCATCAACTTTACAATCTCTAAAGCATACCAAAATAGATAAATTTGTTTTAATGCTGTTATAATTTATTTATTTCAGGGTTCCCACGGGTCAGGGAGAACAGGGAAAACCTGGAATTGTCAGGGAATTTTATTTCAACTATAAAAATCAGGGAAAGTTGCAATTTTTTTACAAAAACCTGGAAAATTCCTTCATTATACCTGGAAGAAAAATCAATCTTAAAATTGTCAGTAACAGTACTAAGTTGTTGAAATTCAAGTTAAATACTTCTAACATCTATTACAATTATTTATTGTAAAAATTTCACATTTTAGACAAACTGAAATGCTTCCTTCCTCATAAAATATTAGTTTTACATAGAAAATCTAATACTTGGCATTGCAAATAAGGGAATCAAAATTTTCGGATGAAAAATTTTGTTGCATAGATGAAATATGGTATTGATTTTCATTGAAATTTACCTGATATACTTGGAAAAGACGGGGAATTTTTTTTCTGAAATTGAGTACCCTGAGTTTTTCTGAATTGGGAACCCTATAATTTATTTTGTAAATAATAAGTACTTATGTGCATATTTTTGTGTTTTAAATCAATTGTATTTAAAAATCATTTTAAAACATTAATCTGCATCAGATTTACATATTGCCATATTTATTTGGTAAGTTAAGCGATAAGTCGAATCATCTATATAACACAAAATATCTAGGTTTGCATTTTAAAGATCTTTTACTGTAGAGTACTATTGAATGTTTTATGCTTATTTTTGTGTGTTTTGATGACAAATTCATATTATTTACTATTATTGAATGATTCAGTTAGAAAAAAATCATATGGTGGGCATTTTTATAAATAGATTGAAGGTATGAAGTGTATTGTTCGATGGCTTACTGGAAAAGAAAAATTTGTGAAACCCACAATAACTACTTTTAGATGTTTGTCAACATATATTGAAAATAGTGGTGATCTAACTGAACAAAGACATAACTTGTGAGTATTTAAATATATGTATGATATGTTTAAAGATGTATATTTAATTTTAGCTGTTAAATGCATGTATTTCTTACTATATATAAAAATCTAATGATGCTGTTGTAGTTTTCCATTGTTGTCAATGCATTTTTATTGGTTGGAAAATTGCGTAGGATCCAGTTTTCCCTTATTAATTTTCTTATTGGTTTGGTTGTCATCAGCATAAAATTTATATAAGTCATAAAGTTATTGTTTTCCTATAAATATTTTTTTCCCTAATTTAAAGGTTAAAAAAAAACGCAGAGCTATAAGCGATAAGCAGAGAGCTCGCCACACTTAACTATACTCAATAAAGGTTAAAATTACCTGTACTGTTATTACGTTTTTGATTTTGTTTGATTTCTAAAGTAAAGAGTTTAGGAGGATTGTTTTTATTATTATTAGAGTAATGTAATTCTATGTTACATTTTAAGATAAAGTAATTTAAATCAGTGTTTGATCTTATTAATCGTTTTTAGAATTATCCTTTTTTGATTCAAATTATGTTAATATATTATTATGAATTATGGTTAAAGAGATTCGTTAGTGAGATTTAGAACTTAACTTTTAGCTTCGTGCACAAAGTGATGAATGCAAAAATTGTATTTAAAATATATCCATTTGTTTGGGAATCAAAAATATTAAATTACAGTTGTGAAACCACCAAATTTGTTATAACAATATACTTTTAATTTTAAATGTTATCTCAAAAAATGATCACTTAAAAATAATTTTTATGATCAATTATAGATCTTAATAGTATCATAAGGAAAATTTTTAGACATGCAAAGTTGAGGCACAAGTGTTCTTTTTAGTACATTTTTAATTAAATAATTTTAACTGTTTTATGCCAAGAAGCAATCTATTATTACAAAGCAATCATCACGGTTGATGAACGTCAACGAACAGGGGGCTTAGCCTCCTAGTAAATGTATGTTGACCTTTTCTATTATGACAATGTATAGAAAAAATTTAGTAATTATTTTTCTCCCCTCTTTTTAGGCCCATGGAAAACTCATGGTTGAGATTGAGTGCTGCTTGCCGTATGCTCAAACTGTGTCATGTTCCCGATTATGCTGTTGCCCTTGGCCTAAAACAGTTTCAAATCCTTGCTTATGTTTTAAATGTAAGACTACATTTGTTCCTTTTTTATATAATCTTATTCCATTGCTCATTCCATGCCTCAAAAAACCAATCAGCTCAAGGATTTGGAATTTCCGGATTTTTGAAATTTACAAATATCAGACAGTTAATTTAAATCAATAGAATTGTCGAGATTCTATTTTACCACGATTAAATAATTGAATTATCTTTAGAATAGTAACTATTCTTTCCATGAGATGTGGAGTCGAAAGTGGAAATATTCCTAGTCCAAACTTTTCTAAGAGTTTGACTCTGACTTATATTCTATTTTAGAAAAGTATTAATATCCGACAAGTATTAATATCCGATAAGTAATTCTTAATTACAAATTATATGTTTCTACTTTTTTTGTGGGATTAAAGTAAAAAGCAATTTATTTAAAATTTCATTTTGTATTAATAACATAACAATTAAAAAAATGAATTTTAAAAAATAATTTGAAATTGTGGAAAATCATTATAAGAAAAGAACTGCATATCGATATCACACATTCTCACATGTAAAAACGTTGTATGACAAAAAATTGTTAAGTGCATTTTTATTAACTAAAAAAATTTTTCAAATTATACATTAAACTGACTCTAAACTAAAATAAATTAAAGTAAAGCATATTTTTTTAAGTAACTTACTAAATAGATTTTGTTTTAGAATTGAAAAGTACCTTATTAATGATTCATTTATTAATATGGATTCTTCAATAATTACAATAATTTTTTGTGTTATTTTATGATTATTAAGCATAGGCACAAAAAACGTACAATTGTGATTAGTTAAGTTTTTGATAAGTGTTAATTTAAATAATAGTCACAATATTCATGCAAATAATATTTTTGTATGAATAGTTTTTCTATTATCAAAAAAAAAAAAAAAAAACTTCCCTCTTTTTATTTACAGGACTTTGAACTAATCAGAGTAGCATAAATTTTTTTAACATTGACTTCACACCCCTGCTTCCTTCAGTTTAAAAGTTGTGTGTGTTTCCTTTAAAATATTTAAGATGGTTGTAACATTTTGAGTTCTTGATCTTTCTTTTTTTTTCAAGTGATGCATAATTAAGTTTGTAAACAATGTTATATTATTCTTGTTAAAAGTTTATGTGTTAAATCTTATGATCAGGAGATTAATCTTTTCTTATTTATTTCTTCAGTTTTGGACATTAGATTTTTGGATATTTTGAATTTTATCCCTTTGAATTATCATCTATTGTTCAGTATTATTCAGTTTTTGGTGTCTTTATTAAGTGTTTTTATTTATTTATTATCTTTTTTTTTTCAGGATCTTTGCCCAGAAGTCTGTGATATCTTTGCCAAAAAGCTGAATAAAGCCTTGTATCTCTTTAAATTACCACTTCAGTTTTTAGCTGTTTTTGCCTTGGGAGGGTTAAATGAAAGAAAGGAGTTTAAAGCCAATATTAAAAACTATCTAGAATATAATATTGAAAAGCGTCGGCAAAAGCTGAGAGAGAAGGCTGTTACGAAGGTTTGTTGAATTTCTATAAAAATTTAAATAATACCCTCCAGTTGTTTCTATTTATTAAAATTCCTCTGGGTCATATGTAGAGTAAGTGAAAATGAATGCTTTAATTTCACAGGAGAAATAGGCAAAATGTAATAAAGATATTCATTAAAAATCATGCAGGAGTAGCAAGTTTTGAATGTATTCTTCACAAATATTTGTTATGTGCTCTTTTTGTTGTACAGCAGGCAACAAGTGACAGAATAGTGGCGACACAGTGATTTTTCTTTTCTGCAAAATTATATTTAAAAGATACCTTTATCGCGCATAGGAAGGGAAAGAAATGTTTTTGATTTTTATATTCTCATTTGAGAAATAAAAGTTTGGCAATGGCTGGCTTTAGCAAGATTTCAAGTGGATAATGTTTATTAAAAAGAAAAACATTCATTCCAAAATCATGAAAGTTTAAAGGAACGTTTATTTCAGAAATCATGTTCTTTCCTTTCATTTTCTTTTTAACAGACAGCATCTTTTACATTTTATGATGGTGAATTGGAGATTTTGTTATAAATTCAAATTTATAGCAAAATAGTTAATCAATACAATATATTTTCTCCTTTTTTTATAAATTTAGTTGAGTAAAATCTATCGAATATTTTTAATGTATTATGCATAGGAAAATTTTAAATTGCGCTTTTTAGTCTTTATTTTATCGCTCACTGCTCACTTTGGTTGAATCAAATCTATCGAATATTTTTAATATATTACTCATAGGAAAACTTTGAATTCTGCTTTTTAGCCTTTATTTTATTGCTCACTACTCACATTGATTCCATCGTAAATATTATGTAGTGTTTTGATCATTTCTTTTTGGCAATTATTGCCACAAATTTTCACTTTTTTTAAAAAATAAATCCCTGTTCCTAATTGTTGCTCAGTTACTATTATTGATGTTCTCGTTATTTTTTATTATTATGACCTGCGAAGTTCGAATTGCGGATTAAAAAAATCACTCTTTAACACGCCCGGTTTGTACTAATATCATCATTGATCCATGTAGTGTTTCAATCGTTCCTTCGACTGTTAGTGCTAAGAATTTTCAACGTTTTTTTTTTTAAAGAAATCCTTGATGATTTTTTTAAGCAATTTTATCATCCGCAAAATTCAAATCGCTTATTTGATACTTTACTTTTTTAATGCGACGATTTCATCATTTTTTTTAACTTTTCAATTGTTATTTGCTAGAGCTACCAATTTTCACCGATTTTTAAAATTCCGGTTATTTCTCAGTTGATAAAATTTCTACATGTAAAATTTGAATCACGCATTTAAATTATCACTCTCTGATGCAAATCACAATTTATGTCAATAATATCGTAAATCCATAGTGTTTCGATTGTATTTTTGGCAGTTATTGATATTGATTTTTGCGTGATTTTTGAGATTTTATATTTTTAATTCGATGTTTATTACAACAACCGAATCTCGTAATGAAATGTGCATTTGGGTAACCTCTTTTTAAAGAGTGATTCACATAATTACATTGTCGATGTTCTTTTTGGTAGTTACTGCAACAAATTTCTTGATTTTTAATTAGTTTTTTTTTATGTGATGAGGATTTACAAAATGCAAAAAAAGAAATAATTATAGTGTTTTTCTCCTACAAGGAATATTAGAATATTGCCCATAGTATTAGAATAAAAAAAATTATATCTAATTCATTTTTATCCAAATAGTTTTTGTTACTTTAAATTAGCAACATGTGTATTTGTTATTATTAAAAGTATCTTGCAGAAAGATATTAGTGCTAGAGAGGTTTGTAGCTGAAAGCTCTAAAAAATTCTGCTACAAGATTGACACTGGTGTTATAACAGCTATGATAGGGGTTTTCAAATCAGTCATGATCGTTGGACCTGGAAGCACATATGTGCGAACTATCACAGGAAAAGGTTGCATCGCGTCGAGAAGGGAGAATCGTGATAGCTAAGACAAGAATGTATTTTTCTGTGATTAATAGATACGCAACCAACCCACTATCATGGAACGTGTTATTAAGACCAATGCTTTTCTTCCCATTTTATTTTTGCAGGAACTCTGATGATGATTTCATTCCCAGGGCTATATATAAGTGATTATTCAAAACTTGCATGGATAAAATCTTTTCAATAAATAATTTTTAGGATACGAATGATACACACCTGAATGTATAGTAACATTAAAATTAAGGTTGTATCTAATTTTAAGTTTCAAAATTCATGCTTATGTTAGATTTTCATACTTCTTTTTTAAATATGATTTCTTCTTTAGTTTTTATTCCCTACCAAATATTACTTAAATCAAGGAGAAAGAAATTGTTATGTATTAAAAAGTATTGGTTTAATTTCGAACAATTTAGGAAATTTTCATATGTATCATTTATAAATTTTAAATATTAATTTTCATTTAATTATTGTTATCTAAAAAGAAAAATCATAAAAATTATATACTTTTTTAGCTGATAAGTTATCCTACCTGCCAGAATACACCCTTCCATATGCAATCCACTTATTAGCCCATGCTCCATTCTTCGGAGATTATAGCTGCCTCTCTTCTTTAAGAAAGATTAGGAAGTAAGTATTTATTTATGATGCCTGGACATTTTTGGTGTTAGCTAAAATAGTTTTCATTTTACAAAATAAGTTTGACTTTTTCTATATCAACCCTTTTATCTGTGATCTCAAGATAATAATTTTAAAAATTTATGTGTTCAAATAGACATCAATTAGTGTATTCATATTTATTCTCAAGCCTTTGAGCCTCATAACCTTATTGAGAGTTACTATTCTTGATTTGATATTTACCTTTTTTTTTATACATTTATCACCTTTTCTTCAATATCTTGCTATTGAATTCTGTAATATATTAGCTTAAAATTTAAAAAAATTACCATTATTTTTTATTTATTTTTTGCATTTAATTTAAGTTGCCTGCAAATGTTTATGGAGTGTTTGATTGCTAAAAATAAAGACTACAGTTTTACATTTTTCGAGAGACTTGTTGAAAACATAAAACAAACTAAGGATAAGCAAGATCCAGAAGATGAAGATACCAATTTAGTAAGTGGATTAATTTAAAAATTATTTGATATTCCTTTTCTAATTATATTTTTTCATGTAACAATCATTATCAAATTTAAATAAGTGCATACCCTCCAACTTATGAGGATTTTGAAAATAATTCTTTCTAGTGGTAACAAACCAAAGTAGAAATTTTTAAAGCAAATGTATCTCTCATAAAACTTTTATCAGAACTTAAGAATCTAGCCATATGGCCTGCACTTTTATAAGTAATAGTGGACAAGTTACGCTAAAATGAATTTTTTTAAATATTAAGACATTAATTTTGCTACCGTCTGAAAAAAAGATTTCTGAAACTACGGAAATTCCATAGCAGTTGGAGGGTATGTAAGTGCATAATCTGTATTCTTTTGCTACCATTTTTGACTTACAGTTGGAAGGCACATTAATTCCAGTATTCTTATGACAGGGCTTATAGCTGTCCTGATTTTTTAATGAAAATTTTTTTTAACTCATTTGTCCTGATATTCCTCATTTTTATGTGGGTTCAGACCTTCTTGTTTTCTATAAATTCAAATGTGGATTTTAAGATAATCAAATTTCAAACTTTGAGACTGTCCACTAATGATATACATGGTTCTGGTTTATGACCTAACTTGCAGAATTCATTGAAATTTTTTGGGAATCCAGTTTCGTTTCTTTTATCTAATTTTAAAATTTATTGATCCTAATCAGCAATACAGTACTCTTAGAAATCCTTACTGGTGAATTGAGGGATTGTTACTTTTATACAAAACTTTTTTTAAAAAAAATTACGCCCGCCATCGTCTTCTTAGACATAAGGCATCTTGCAGTCCAATGCAACACTGAAGTAGCTCCAGAAGGTGAGACGGCACAAAAGTCATCGCAGGTATGAATGTCAAGAAGAGAGAGAGACAATCAAATAGATGCTCCCCAGTCATAGGCAAAGTGTTACAGAGCACACAAAGAAGTGAATTGCTCAGGTTAATTTTAAATAGATGGGCCTGCAAGTAATCATGTTCAGTAATTATTCTAAGGCAAGCAACTCCCTCGGCTCTGGGAAGGAGGGAAAGGTGAGAGCTCTGCTGGTCATCAAGAAGGCTAGCCCAGGATTTTCCATCGGCTAAGTCCCTAAGAGCAGATATTGTATACAAAACTGGAAGGCTGCATTTTCACTGTGTTTTCATTTTGACATTATTGATATCCTACATTAAAATTTTATTTGAATAAGGAAGTCTCTTGAACTTTAATTAAATAATGGTATTGAAAGAACTCACGCAAATTCTGTTCTTGTTGTAAAAAATCTTTAATTGTTTTTGTATTACATATAAAATACTGCTGTACTTTGAAATTCTAGGTTATAAATAACTATTGTATATACACAATATCTTTTGTAACAAAAAGTTTTGCCTATTATTTTTAGAATGATGAATATTTTTCAGAGTTCTCCCTGGGAGTAAAAAAGGGCATTTTGAGTTTTGGAAGGGCACTCACATAACATCGTAAAAATTTATAAAAGTGTGTAAGACTATCTAATAACTGAATTTGATGTTCCCTGCAGAAACTGCCTGGATGTCATGTTGGCACCAAAACGCATTTTCCAGTGCCCCGCACTCACCACACATGTTTCGAATTTGGGATGGGTGCCAATTGAGGTCTATCTTAGAGCTGTTATCTACACTCAAGAGGCTCCGAAGCTGGCAGCCGCAATAGTCCAGACCTTTGATGTGATCTGAAGATCCATGGACGCTAAAACAACAACTGAATTTGATCCTCAACAATTTTCAAAAAGTAATTCTCACTCATTATCAAAATAAGAGTTGAATTTGTTGTAAAAATAATTGAAGACGTGCTAAAAGATAATCTCAGTGCAGAAATTTTTTTCAAAAAAAGTAAACTAAAAATTTATAATTAACTTGAAAGCTTTTTGCTATAATTTAAACTGAAAACTATGAGAAAACAAACATTGAAATTTGCATTTAAAAAAAGGTATTTATTTAAAAAAATGATAATTTTAAAATCACTTGAAGTGAATTCCTCCTGAAAAAGAAAAAAAAGTTGAACCAGTTGAGAATTGCCCTAGAGAATAGTTGATCAAGAATTGAACCAATAGAATTGAATATAGTAAATATATTTGTTATAGTTATCAAAATTAAACTTATAAACACAGATAATTATACTAGTATGGAATTATTATTTAAACTGTGAATTATTATTTTTTTAATGAAATATGAATAAAAAGGTAGTGTTTTTTAGAGATAGTAGCTTATTTTAACAAAGAGAAGCGTGCTTTCAGGTATCAAAGGGCAGAAAACCCTTCTAAAAATGCTTAGGAAAAACACTGTATTTTTTAAAGCCTGAAAAAATTTTACCCTTCGCAATAATTGTGACTAGACGATTATGTCTGGAAAGCACCTTTATGTAAAATGTTTTGTAGTTCAGCAACAAAAAAAAAATCTTATTTATAAAGATACATTATTAATCCTTGTTCTCAATTTTTAGATTTTGTTTCACTTTTTTGTACACTGAATGTTTAATTTGGTTCCTAATTTTAGAGGCTGTATGCTGTTTGTGATTTGGCTTTAAACATAATTATGTCCCAGAAAAACTATTATTCAAGAGACTTCCCAGCAGATCTGGCTCTTAATAGAAGATTCTTTACTGATCCAGATCTAGTAAGCTCATTTTAATTCTTTAATACTTCATTTAGTTTTTTTTTTTGTTATAGTTAAAATTTGATTGTTATATAAAGATATGATCCAATTATGCCTGTCAAGTTGACCTCTGTTATCAAGAACAGAATTAATCAAAGATATATATGAAGAAAAAAAATAATATCTAAAAATTTCAGTGGATAAAATTTCTCAGAGGAAACATAGAATTGTTAGAAATGTGATCAAAGTTTTTTTTTTTTTTCAAAACCACGAAAAATTTTGTAACCTTTTTAGAAAAAACCTTTCAGTGAGCAACATTCTGCTAGAAAAAACCTTTCTTAAATTATTCTATTTATAATTATTCTATTATTTTTAACACATGCTCGTTTATTCAAAAATTGCGCAAATTAAATTAAATTTTTCTCGGAAAAGAGTTATGCTAAAACAAACTCTACAATTTTGGGGAAATTTCGATGCCAAGAAAACTTTTGAAAGTCTTGACTTGTGAAGTATTGAGCTCTTACTACCCTGAGCTGGAGTGGCTTCGGATCTACGCCGACGGATCCCTCCTACCAGACAGTCCTAATGCCGGAGTTTTCTCCGAGACTTTTTCCTTTTATGCCCCTATGAGACAGGGATCTGCTTTTGATGGAGAGATAGCTGCAATTCGAATAGCTCTAGTCCAGTTAAAGTGTCATATCGATCTTTTTAAAAAAGTTGTTCTATGTGACTCAAGAGCTGCTTTGCTTGCCATTGCATCCTTAAATAATCCCTTAACTCGAGGCATTTTGGATTGCCGTCTCCAACTTGTTCTCCAGTGGGTTCCTGCCCATTGCGGGGTTACGGGTAATGAAAATGCAGACTACTTAACAAAAAAGGGGGGCTTAATTATACAGACTTTTGCACACATTATGCCCTTCTGTTCCATCAAACAGCTTATTAACAGGACCTTTAAGACCTGTGCTCATGAAGAACTGATCGACCATACATCTGCTAAGTCTTGGAGGGCTACCATCCTAAATTTGCGAAATGTCCCAAAACGAAGAGTGGTTTCTGAATTCTGCTTGGCCACCGATTATGACTGTCTGCGGAAACATCTGTCTAGATTTGGTATCGTTCCTTCCCCGGTATGCACTCTTTTCAGTTCTGGTGAGGACATGGTCTCCATGTACCTTCTCCGCTGCTCTGCACTTTGCAGGAATTCTATCACTGAACGCTACTGGGAAGCTAGAGACATGTTGCGATTAATACTCAGTTGCAGTATCTTTTGTTTCTGTTCTGAGCTGGGTTCGGTGAGATTATTGCACTCTCATGTGTAAATCTGCTACAGTTTGCTAGCTATTCTCCATTTCAGGCTTCATTTTCCACTCTCTGAAATCGAATTGAAAAATCTCTCTCTTTTTATGGTAGCTAATATAATCGAGAAAAGAGTTCTTTGTCAGAAACTAGTTATTTTGTCATGATCATGTAAAGTCTTTGAAAATTATTTTGTACTTTGTTAATGTATATAGTGCTTAAAAATATTTTTTGGGTGCTTAAAAAGTATCTATGTACTTAAAAATATTTTTTGGGTGCTTAAAAAGTACTTAAAGGGTGCTTTTTTTTAAAAAAGAAAAAGATTTGGCTACGCACTCTACATTTAGAAATCGTAGTTTCCTATATAATCCAGGGCTGATTGTGCTCAGGAAAAAATACGGATTTCCGGAATTTTCGCTAACAGTGATCCGGAAGTTTCAGGATATTGAAGGTCCAGGCGTTTCAAAAAATCATTGATCACAGAAGTTTCCGGAAATCAAATTTTCAAAGGTGGAACTTAAAAACGCAGTTTATTTTATTTGTTTGTAAGGGAGAGCCAGAGAGATATTTTATAAGCTTATATTCATGATTAATATTCATTTTTTATCAGTAAATAGTTGTTATAATCATAAACGCAAGAAAGAAAGACAGATTTGTAAATTTTAATTACTTCTCCAGGTCATCATAGGTATGTGTAAATTCTAGTTCAAATATGAAATTATCTTGTTTATTAGAAATTTGTTTTTGCCTGCAGTTGCTATTGCTATTATTGTATTTTAAATTATTTTATGTGTCATTTCTTTGTCTTATATAGAGTTACAGCAATACGAGAACGTATTTACCACCTGAATTTCTTGAAGAACAACCTGTGGTAAGCAGAGCTTTGTTGAAATACTATTATATTGTGAATTTGTATTTCATTTAGTGATTTTAGAAATTTACTTTCATTTAGTGAATTCCAATTGACCAATTTTTTCTAAACGTTATCATTAGAATTATTGATATATAATATTGATGATAATATTGATATATAATATATTGATATACTAAAAGTATTCATTGGAATATTGAGAAGAGTCATTGAAATTATTATATAATGGATTTGTATTTCAACTGTCTATCACTAGAAGTCAACTGTCTATTATCACTATATACATTTGCTATTATGTTTTTAATTTAGTGTGAATTTCAATTTTCAATAAAAGTTAACTTTTAAATCATTGATGTGTAAATAATTGTTGAAATTATTGATTTGAGTTTCAATTGTTAGCACTGCTGTAGGTTGAATAAGGTTCAAACAAATGTGTGTTTATTGGCGGAGCTGAAAGATATAAAAAATTTCATTATTAATTTTGGTTATGATATTTTTTTCCTATTTTCTTTGTAAAAAAGTGTGCTGACCATCTTTTTTTAAATCAATGGGCTGATTGTGCTCCGGAAAAAATCCGGATTTTTCGCTAACCGTGATCCGGAAGTTTCCGGAGATTGAAGGTTCAGACGTTTCTAAAAATAATTGATCACAAAAGTTTCTGGAAATCAAATTTTCAAAGGTGGAACTTAAAAACACAGTTTATTTTATTTGTTTATAAGGGAAAGCTAGATAAGCTTATATTCAAGATTAATATTCATTTTTTATCAGTAAATAGTTATTATAATCATAAACTCAAGAAAGACATATTTGTAAATTTCAATTACTTCTCCAGGTCATCATAAGTATGCGTAAATGGTATAGGTATGTGTAAAATTTTAAATATATTTTAAGTAAACTAAGAAATATTGAGAAAAAGGAAAAAAACTTGTTTAAATTTTTTGATTTAAACATTCATTTTTTTTTTTTTTTTTTT